CCCTTTTGTTGTTTTCGACCAGGAAACTTAGATCTCACTCTCCACACGGAATCTTGCCTTCATTAGTCTTTTGTCAGGTTTTAAAGCTTCGATCTGCTTTCTTTTTCTGTATATAGAGCTTAATTTTACTATTCTTCAGATTTGTATACGATCGTTCTAGATCTTTCTTTTTTGATTTCTGCCTAGATTTCTGCCTAGATTTCGCTTGCTTGTTGATTTTCTCTTTTTTTTCGTTGCATGATAAGTTAGTAAGATCAAAATATTTTCTGGTCAAAGACCCTTGTCATCCACTTTGAGTCTCTACACCTTCGTTTTGTTAGTGGAAGAGTTATGTGCGTCTGATTTCCTTAGAGATCTATCGGATCTCCAGTTCTCTCTCGCTTCATCGATCTCAATCTCAATTTGTTCTTCTCTGCACTCTTTGTTATTTGCTCTCTTTGTTTTTTTATTATTATTATCTATAGATCTGGTTTAGATCTAGGATTTTTCTCGTGTTTTTCCTTTGTTAATTTTTATTGTTTTGTTATTTTATTGTGTTTTGTTCATAGTGTGGTCAATTAATTATTTTATTGTACTTTATAAACCTAAGACTAGTTATTGTGTAATGCTTAAGTCTCTAATTAGTAGTATCGTTTTTTATTTGGGAAGATAAAAATCACTATTACTCTATTTTTCCCCTTTTAACACTAGGCTTTTAACAATAATAATAACAATAGTATTATATAAATTAAAATCTTATTAAGTAACCAACTAGGCTTCTTAGTACCCTCCATTCTCTAGCGTTTTTTGGTGCATCTTCTGTCTTCTTTGGATTTTTTTTCATAGATCCTTATAGCTTCGGATATAGATGATTACTTGAGGTCATGTCCTTCTTTTAGACCCCATAGGGCTTATAGGGGTGGGCTTGACAGAGTAGTGTCAAGGAGACTAGACTTAGATTTTGTACGTTGAATGTAGGCACATTAAATGCTAGGTTGCTGGAGCTGACCGACGTACTAAGTAATAGGAAAATAGATTTTGCATGTATTCAAGAGACTAGGTTGAAAGGGGCTCGAGCCAGAGAGTGTAACGGGTACAAGTTATGGTATTTAGGCGTAGATAACACTAGAAATGGGGTGGGTATCTTGGTATCCTCTAGGCTCAAGGAAAATGTAGTTGAAGTTTGTAGATACCGTGATAGGATCATGATGATTAAGGTTATTATAGAAGCAGAAGTGGTGAATGTCCTTTCAGTGTACACCCCACACGTTGGCCTAGGGGAGGGGGGAAAATGTTGCTTCTGGGATTCGTTAGATGATGTATTTAGGAGCATTCCGGAGGACCAAAGAGTTTTCATAGGGGGAGACTTCAATGGACATATAGGTAGTGAAATCGACGGGTATGACGGTGTTCATGTGGGTTTCGGTTTTGGTAGTAGGAACGAGGAGGGTCGTTCGTTGCTTGAATTTGCTACTGCACACGATATGGTGGTCACTAACTCATTCTTTAACAAGAGAGATGTGAACTTGATTATGTTCCATAGCGGGGGGACATTGTACCCAAATCAACTACATCCTGGTTCGAAATCGGGATCGATTGGCTTGCATTGATTGTAAGGTGTTCCCAGAAGAGGCATGTGCATCACAACACAAATAATTGGTTTTGGTGTTTCGCGTTCGCCACGGGCGGAGCACTCATAGGAGGGCTAAACTAGATAATCCTAGGATCCTTTGAAAGAACTTACATGGAGCGACATCTGATGACTTTAGGAATAAGGTTTTGTCTCATATAGGTTTTGGAACTACAAACTCAAATAATACAGATATGTTATGGGAAAATATGGCAAATTCCATCAGGGAGGTGGGCAAAATCACCCTTGGGTTGTTGACAGGGAAGGTCAAGGAACATAAAGAATCGTGGTGGTGGAACGACGAAGTCCAAACTAAGGTGAAGACAAAGCAAACTTGCTTCAAGGAGTTTCTACAATGCAATGAAGACGAAAAAAGATCGAGAGCTAAACAAAAATACAAGGAGGCAAACTGGGAAGCCAAGAAAATAGTGGCTAAAGCAAAGGATAAGGCATACGAGGAAATGTACAAGAGATTAGACACAAAGGAATGACAAAACGACATCTTCAGGCTTGCAAAATCCAGGGAGAATAGGAAAAAGGATCTAAGTAGCATTAGGTTTATAAAGGACAATAATAGTGTTCTTTTAGTGAAAAATCATGATATTAAGAGGGTTTTGGGTAGTTACTTCTTTGGCTTATTTAATAACGGTGCCTCTCCCTGTAGAGATAGTATCATTGATGGGTCAGTCGACCATCATACTACGGCCAATGATTGAGAAAGTCAAAATGGCCCTTAGAAAGATGGGGAACGACAAAGTTGACGGTCGAGATCAAATTTCTATCACTGTGTGGTTGACCCTAGGAGAAGAGGGAGTTAAGTGGTTGACCAATATCTTTAATATTATTTTAGAGACTGCCAAGATGCCAGAGGAGTGGAGAGAGTCAACGGTGATATCAATCTATAAGAACAAATGAGATCCCCAACGTTGTGGTAACTACAGAGGTATTAAACTACTCAGTCATACCATGAAGCTATGGGAAAGGGTGATAGAGGCTAGGTTGATACATGTTACTAGGGTTTCAGAAAACCAATTTGGCTTTATGCTAGACAGGTCTACCACGGAGGCGATTCATCTACTTCGACAACTTATGGAGAAATATAGGGGGAAAAATAGAGATCTCCACATGTCGTTCATTGACCTTGAGAAGGCGTATGATAGCGTACCCTGCGATACGATCTGGAAGACCTTGGAAACGAGACAGATCCCAACTGCTTATATACGGGCGATTCGTGATATATACTGTAGATCTACTACTTATGTCAGGACTACAGTTGGCGACACCGAGGCATTCCCGGTGGAAATCGGACTCCACCAGGGGTCGACTCTTAGCCTTTACATCTTCGCCTTGATTATGGACGACATCTATTGTGCGACACCAGACGATATTCCATGGTGTATGCTTTTCGCTGATGACATTGTCCTAGTTGCTGAAACAAAAAATGAGCTGAATAGTAGACTGGCTATCTGGAAGACTGCTTTGGAAGAAAAAAGTCTAAGGATCAATATTGAAAAAACAGAGTATTTATGTTCAACTTCAGTGGGAATCAAAACGATGAAGATGTAGAAGTATGCATCGAAGGACATGTTCTCCCCTCAAAAGATTGTTTCAAGTACCTAGGGTCTATGATACATAAAGATGGGGGTGTAGATGATGACGTTACACACCGTATAAAGGCGGGATGGCTAAAGTGGAGGGCTGCTACTGGAGTTTTGTGTGACAAGAAGGTGCATATAAAACTAAAGGGAAAATTTTATAGAATGGCAATTAGACCACACTGCTGTATGGATTAGAATGTTGGGCAATCAAGAAAGATCACGTAAGGAGAATGAAGGTCGCAGAAATGAAAATGCTTCGATGGACATATGGTAGGACTCTGTGGGACATGACACCAAACTCTGCAATTAGGATGTCATTGGGGGTGGTGTCTGTATCCGAAAAGTTGAAGGAAGGAAGACTACGGTGGTTTTGGCATGTTCTTAGGCGACAACCGTCGGATGCGGTCAGGAGGATAGAGTCGATTACAATCGACGGTGCCAGAAGGAGAGATCGACCAATGAGGAAGTGAGTAAGCTGCTTTAGATATGATTTGAAGGATTTAACCCTTACCGATGACATGACCTCTGACAGAAAAGTATGGAGACTTAAGACTCAAGTAGCCAAGTAGTGTGGGTCACAGAAATAGGGTGTAGCATCTCTGTCTTCTTTTTAATGTCTTTATAGTAATTTACATGACTTCTACTTTTTATACGTTTCTGTCATTGGAATTTATGAAGGCTTAGAACTAGGATAACGGAGTAGTGTAATCTTAGTTTAAATTTTAACCCATTTGACTTTATTCCTTCTCGTAACTTGCTATCGTTGACTACTGTGTATCCTTCTCTTCATGTTTTCTCTTTTTAAATTTAGCATGGACTTACGTTTCTGTCTATATGCAGAGATTTTTACGCAGGAATTTATTTGCAGAGATTATTTCCCATTATAAGCGCGCATATGTAGACTGCATATGAAGACTGTTCAATTATGTATTTATTTATTTATTTATATATACATTGTATTTTATATATATTTTTTAAATTTTTCAACTGTCGGAGATTTTCCACGGAAACTGCTCTCAACTTGACGTTGGGATCAACTTACTACTCTACCTCTCCTACTCCATTGCATATGGGAATAGGGAGCAACTTACTACTCTACCTCTCCTACCTCATTGCATATGAGAATAATGTTGTATTATTGTTATATTTTTTAAAACCCAACATTTAAATTTTGGTCAAAATAATCTCTTTTTGGATGAAAACTCGACTGTTGTTTTTTGAAATCGGAAATGAAGGCCATTACAAACTAAAAACAAAAGTAACCCTAACTGTGCGACTAAAGGGAGGGGCCATGAAGTAAATTGCTTATTGAAAGAGAACGTAAGTGCTACTTGTCACGGCCACAGTGGGGCGATTCCATGCATCAGTAAGCTTTGCCATTTGGTCAGTTACTTACACTTTACTACCAACAAATTCCCATCGATTAATATAAAGACATTGACCAAATTAGTGTTATGTAAAAATTAAAAAGCACATTTAAACCCCATGAACACACCTGCAATATGCCCTCTTATCGAAATTGCATTGGAAATTTAAGCCTCGAAGATTTTCAACTGTAACAAGCCCCACATGCTGCTTCCGAAAAGCAAAAACAAACATCTTCACTTTCTCCTTTTTCCATTTCGTTTTTCCACTAATATATTTGTTCAGTCACTTCTATAAACCTAAAACAGGAGAAAACACACACGCGTCTCTTTAATATATTATATAACATATATCCACCGCTGTCCGACTCAGGAGCTACTTTTCCCAGATTCCCTGTTTTTTTCTACTTCTTTTTTACCCCTTTTCAGAACGAGCTGTCAAAATCTCTTCGCCACCACTGCTTTATATTATACATCGTTTCCCATTGCCGGCGACCAGAAATCGGCACCGTTGCTATTCGCCACATGCAAAGTGCAGGCAATAGGGACCAAGCATAGCCCTCTGCTCTTCAGCTCCTTCCCTGCTTCTTCACCTTCGTTCTAACAACACAATGAAAGTGATGCATCAAAAACTTAATAATAATAAGAATAAAAAAACTGGGTTTTTCTTCTTTTGGTTACTTACAGTTACGGGTGGGTGTTGCAGATAAGGAGAACAAAGGACTTGAACTTGGTCATGCAGGAACCGTATATAACCCATCGCTTCATGCAGCACTGATGCTGTATCTGTCTGCAACATTGTAAAATTCCCATAATTTTCCCATTGCATTAATCATTTCGGGTAAAGGATAAGTAAAATCTTAGTTGCCAACCTTGCCAAAGGGTGAAACCAGCTGCTGCAATGCCGTGATTCTATCACCTATCTTCTCCTTCCTCACCTGTAATCATTAACAAAGGGAAATCATCTGTTAGAATTCATCTTTTTTTAAGCTGCAAGTTTCAAAAATAGATCCGATATGTATACAACTACCTTTGAATGCCCAGTGGTTGTGGGATTATCAGCCTTGGACTTCTTATTGGCCCTTAGACTTGCCGGTCGAGTTTCAACAATGAAGCCATTCCTCTTTCTCTTCCAAACAAAAAAAATTGGAAAAAATTAAGCTTTCTTTCCATGAATTTAAGAAAAAAAAAGGCAAAAATTAAGACTTTTGAAACTCACATTCGATATCGAGGGATCCTGGGAAGATTTGGCGTTGTTACCAGAAGAAGCCGAGGAAGAATCACTGCATGCAGCCGTTTTTTTAGCAGCAATAATGGTAGATTCTTTACCAAACACAATCTGACCATCAGTTTGGTGACCCCCAAAGCAAAGCATTTTGGGGGACTTGTCATGATCACGAACAGCGAAAGAACAGCTGTAGTTAAAACCTTGGCCAAGATCAAGACCCACAACATCATCGCCACCACCAGTACCAAACAATAACTGAGAAAAACGAGTAGTTGTTGCAGTCGACTGGTCCCCCTCAAAACCCTGATCACTCTCAGCCATCATAAAAAGAAAAGAAAGCCCAAAAATCAAACAACCCCACAAGCTTGAATTATATAACTTTCAAATTTTCCTTCTCTTTTTGTCTGTCTGTGCGTGTGTTTGCTGTAGTTGGAAAGCAACTAGCAGCAGCCGTTACAATAGTGAGAGAATTGGGAGAAAAAAATGGGTGGTTTAAGGTGGGGGGAGGCTTCCCAAGGTTGGCTTTGGTTTTCGACTAGTGACAGTCAATCCCGTCTAGCCCGAGAAAACCGTGGTTTATTTATCCAAAGCGTTGGTTTACAAATTTTGATTCGACTGATACCCTTGTTATGACTGGTTTTCTATTCGGCCTTGAAACTTGAAAATATAGAAAGACCTGATCAGTGTTCAGTCACCAGCACCGACTAACTGAGTTGACTAGACGTACAAAAACTTTAAGAAAATACTACCTAACTAGATATGTAGATGAAAAATTTGTTTGTTAATTTTTTTTTGTTCATTTTCATTTAATATTAAGTAAAATTTTATATTTATTTCATAAACGAATATAGATAAATATATTTAATTGTGTGTATCTAAAATATTTTTTAAGATGAATATATATATATATTATTAACAAAAATTATTTTGTATGGGTAAGGATAAATAAAATCTTAGAGTGTATACCTATATACTATAGGCAATACTTGTGACTGATGTTGATATTTGTTTCATTTATATTTTTTTTTTAAAAAATCATTTGAAAGCTTGTTTATTCTTTTTGTTATTTCTTTTACATTTTAAATATTAGTGAAATTGTATGAAATAATTTACTTCAGCGGTAAAAAAATTGTTGTTATTTTTAAAAGTCACGAATTAGAGTACTAACGACTATAGCATAATGATTGAACATTTATTATCAAATGCTTGAAAATATTTAAAATATATATTATTTTATAATTATCTTATTTTAATAAAAATATTAGAATACATATGTGTGTGTGTATATATATATATATATATATATATATATATATATATGTATGTATGTATGTATGTATTTGTATGCATTTGATATCAATCTTCCTCATTGACACCCCTATACCCAACAAATTCAGTTCCACAAAATGTAGAGCCCAGCGAAGGACACATGCACGGCCGCTTGTTAAGGCTTACCTTACAAAAGAAGAAGATAGAAGAAAGGTCTGAAACCCACATGATGATAGCTTCTCAGTTTAAGCAAGGCTTGGAGTTGGATGTTTTAACTCTTTTATAACCATCAATATTTACTATAAATAATATTAAATTTTAAACATTATTTAAAAATTAACATTTTATGAGATTGATTAGAAAATAATATTTTAAAATTAATATTAGAATATTAGTCTTGATATATTTGTAGTAATTTTGATTTGATTAAAAGGGTAAAGTACATAAATGATTTCTAGATTATGGTGTTATTTTGTTGAGTTCCTTGATTATTAAAGTTTACAAAATGATCTCTTGATTATAGGATGTTGTTTTATTAAGTTAATCGATTATTAAAAGTTACAAAATAGTCATTCGACTATTCATATGTTTTAAACTCATCATTTTTCGTTATAAAATTATTGACCGTCTGAGTTGTATGTTAATATGTTAAATGGGATATGATAAAATATGATTCTAGAACCGTTTGAGTTGTATTTTATGGATCGACTCTTCGTTTACATTGTTTCATCGAGTTAATACTTAAAATATTATATTGTCGAGTCAGTGATTGAAAGTAATGTTGATGCCAACATTCATCATTAACATATGATTCTATCATATTTCAATCAATAGGTTAATGTCTAGCTTAAATGACTGTCAAATTTTAATATAAAATGACGAGTTTGGAATATATGAACAATTAAATGATTATTTTATAACTTTTAATGGTTAGAATACTCAATAAAATAACATCATATAATCAAAAGACTCTTTTATAATTTTTAATAATTGTAAAACTCAATAAAGTAACGTCTTATAATTGAAATACAATTTGTGTAGTTTACCCAAAATTTAAATACTGTTTAGAAGAATGGAAGTAGACAAAGGCACGGCAGTCGAGATCCGTTCCGACATTGCTTCATAGCATGCTGCGTTTCCCGACACCTCGTTGGTCGTTGTTGGCTTCGTTCTCCTGCATGTCTCCTCCCTTCGTTTTCTTCGATGTTTACATATCAAGGTCCACTTTTTCCACTTATTAACAGAACTGCCCCCCCTCATTTATAACAATAATTAAAAATTAACTATCTTCATTAATATATTAATTAATTTATAATTACCTCTTTAAAAGTTAAATATTTGAATAAATTGTATTATTAACCATCAAATTAATTTAGTTATTTCAATGGTCAAGAGAATGATTGTTCGAACATCAACAGCTACAAAGTATTTAAACATTTATTATCAAATGATTAAGAATATTTGAAACATATACTATCACCTGTAATCACTCTAAATTAATAAAAGAAATTATTAGATCACATAAAAGGGGTATATTGTGTGTTTAATACCTAAACTATTAGTTTTGGTTCATTTTATTACCTAAACTTTCAATTTTTTCAAAACTATACCTAAAGTTTAGTTTTTGTTTCATTTTAGTACACCGCCTTTAAAATTTTTAAATTTTGTTTCATTTTAGTACCTATTCAAAATTTAACGTCAAGTTTTGGAAAAAAAATTGAAAATTCAAGTACTAAAATGGACCAAAACTAATAGTTTAGGTGCTAAACTTGTTAAGTTTTTAACGGCATGTACTAAAATGAAATAAAAACTAAACTTTAGAAATGATTTTGAAAAAATTAAAAGTGTAAATATCAAAACGGATCAAAACTAATAATTTGGATACTAAATGCTTAATTTACCCTAAAAAATAGGGTTTATGTAAATCGCGAAGTACATATCTGTTATGGAACAACCATCAAAACAAAGCTTAAGAACATCATTGGCCTTTTTTCTAGTTTGGTTTCAATCTGCTATTTGCTTTTAGCTATAATTCAAACCTTTCTTCTCCTCGGTTTTCAAACTCTAGTTATTCTTACAAATCTCAGTTTTCTTCCTTATTTCCCAACACTTCATCTCCTTTAAATAACACTTTATGCAATCGCCCAAAAAGAATTTTAAATTGTAAAAAAGTAGCTATCCAACTATTTGAATTTTGGAACCAATCTAGTTCAGATGTACACCGGTAGGAAGCAAAAGCTTAAAAGAACAATAGAAAAAATGAGTTTGAAATTGCTTTTGGGTATCAATCCAAATATAGATGCTTGAGTTACAACTTGGACAATTCCCATGCACAAGATTAGGTGTTTTAATCTCATCCATTCAACAAAACTCAATGTACAATTTCGAAAGCATATGCGAGTATGCAAGTGCCAAGTAAAATCATACATGTTGATCAAAGCTGTGCCATTACTAAGAAGGAAGAAAGCATCTGAAACCAAACCTAATGACGCATATCTAGGCTCCAATTATTCAACACTAAAACTGAGAAAAACGATTGAATCGTAATTCAATTGACAGTATTTATTCGGGGTTCAAGAGGTTCATAAATAGTTTGAAAATGTCTAAAAATCAATGGGGAAAAAAGTGCACCCGAAGGCCGTTTGAGCATTTCAACAAACACCTAGCAGGCATTAACCCGCTCATTCGTCAAAACAAATCTCCTTAAGCTTCTGGGCAGCTGATTCATCCACCGAGTACTGCAATCACGAAAAAGACCAACGCTTTGATATGAGAAAATAAAGGAGAAAATGTCAGTATGTATGTTGAATTTTGATATAAAGAGGCACCTTGTTGAGGACCCAAAGGGAGTGGTTATAGGCGCGGTGGAAGAGCTCGTCGAGGGCTTTGGAGTCGGAGGCATCGAAGTCTCTGTAGTTAACGAAGTTCTCGCGGGCGTATTTAGCGTAGTAAGGGCGAGAATCTTTGGGTAAGCGCCTCACCAACCTTAGCATCTCACAATAAATTCTCAACGCTTTATCCATCTTAGTCTTTCCAAACAACTACTGCGCCTTGACTCGATGTCTTTCTTTCCTTCCTTGGACTACCGATCCGCCGGCCTACAACTGAATTTTGCTTATTGGCTTATTGCATAATCCTTTTTATTTCCTTAATTATAAAATAAGTGTTTAGACTATACCTTTTTCTCCAAATGGGTGCCCAAATTTTTTGTTAAGCAATATGTTCCACACTTTTGTATTTTTTAAAAATAAAAAATATTATATTTATAAAAATCATATTTTTTCTAAAATTAAAAAAAAAACTCAAATCTCTAATAATCCAAAATCTCTAACCTTAACTTTAACCTCTCTTATCAACCACGACTGTCGTCGTTGATGTCACTCTTGCCATCTCCCTGGTTGGTTGTTGTCTCCATTGTTGTTGTGTGCGTCGTTGGATCACCTAGGTGTTGCGAATTTGAGAGTTTGAGTTTGTTGAAGACGCAGTTTTGGGTCGCAATTTTGTTGTTTCCTTCGTTGGAGATGTGGCATTTATAGTCGGGTTTGGCTTGTCATAAGGTCGAAGTTCTGGTGGATGTCCGATTAACGCCAAACAACAATTGTTGGTGTGGATTTAGGGATCGAAATTGGAATTTTCAAATTTTTTAGGTTTTTAAAAATATATATTTTTATTTTTTATTTTAAATAAAAAATTTAAATTACTAAAACGTGACAAGTGTTACTTAACGATGGAATTTAATAGTAGTTATGGTCCGGACACCTAAAGTGGTGTATTTGTAATGTTAGCCACCTGGATGATTTTAAAAAAAGTTTGGACACCTATTTAGAAAAGTTGGTATAGTTTTAGCACTTATTTTATAATTAAACCTTTTAAAAAATAAAAACTTAAGCTATTAATAACAAAATAAAAAAGAAATCACTATATAAACAAACTAAAAATTTAAATATTCTTAATTTTAATATAAGATCGAAGTTAGGATTAAAATATTATGACCATATGGATTCTGAATTTATTTGTTTTAATTATGGTTTTTAACTATTAATTTTATTTAATAATAAAAAATATAATAAAATTATTAAAATGTTTTATAAAAATTAAAGTTAATCAATAAATTAACAATATAATTTTAATAAATTAGATTTTTTTAAATAATTTGATGTGATTATAGTATAATATATGTTTATAACTTTTATTAGTTTCTTGATAACACACGTTCTACAAAAGTTCGAAAGTTAGAAGAGGTGAAAATGGTTTAAGGGTTCAAATGTTATTTTAGAGAAGTTTGAGGGTTAGAAATGTTATTACTCCGTTTTATAAGTTTTGTTACATCAACGAAGTTAAAATTTTAATTAAATTTAAATATTTATATTAATATATGATTAATAACATTTTAATTTATTTAACATTATTGTTGATTATTTACTCTTTTCTTGGAGCATATAGAAACTCGAGATTTTAAGTGTCACTAAAAATTATAATTAAAAATTAATTATCGTTTGGTTGAATAGATGAAACGTTATTTCTTTCTAGTAAATTAAATTTCAAATTTTGCTTTGAAAATTCAAAATTTTATGGTATAAATAAAATAAATTAAAAATATTATTTTAATAATATTTTTATAAAATTCTAATTTTCATTTAATTGATTAAAAAATTATATATAAATAAATATATAAAAATAGAGTTACAATTACAAAATATATATCAAGAGAAACCAGTACGAAAATTTGTGTTGTTAGCCTGTTAGGGAGTATATTTTGGGAATTGAATATTTTAGAAGGATTTCTACTGAAGGGGAATGTTTTTTTGAATTAATCATTAGTATCCGATCTATTAACCGACTAATTCAAATCGAGGCGACCCTTCTAACCCAGTTTGCTTAATTCGCAAACGCCAGGATTTGAACTCCTAACCTTGCTTAAGAGACCTAGTGTCTCATCCCACTAGACCAACTGGTTGTTGGTGAAATTTTTTTTTTAATCCAACGTAGAAATGATCTTGAATTTAATAAATTAAATGTAACCATATATTAATTATTTAGGTTGACATTTGTAAAATTTGCTACGTGAATATAACAATTAGCACATTTAAAGATACTAAATTGAACACATTAAGGAACGCCTATCTTATGAATAATACTAGGTCAAAGAAATCTAAAAACCTAATAATTTATACAATATTTAGACTTCATCATTAAAAATTAATTTATGATTTATATACCTTTGATTAAAGAGTAATCAACGTCAATTCATTTGAAAAAATATATATATAACTCATTTATTTAATAACTATAGATATTTTAAATATTTTTTAAAATATAAAACAGCTCTTAAAGATTTAAACCCATAATTCATTTTTCCATGGCATTCTCATTTGCCACCCACTCACATTACCATTTATACCCCCACTTATACACATTTCATTTTGTCTCGACATAACCATTTGTGCATATCATTAGCTATACTTAGATAAAGTAGTTTGTTGCTTTGACTTAACTAGTAACCTCCTCCAATCCCTGTAAAAATGATACTCACTCACTCTATATTACTTGTCCGATTGTGTATACTTGTATATAATTTTTGCGTAAATTTATAAGCACTCACAGTACGAACAATAGGGAGAAGATGAATTAACCCCGTCTTGAGCTCAAACGGTGTTTCTCTATGAGGGAATGCGATGCATAACGATGTTGGTTCTGCAAGTGTCACAGCTAATTCTCGGATTGTCTGTTGATCCATTAGAATTGGTTCTTCGAAGTCTTCTTTGGCGTCAGAGAAGGTTTATCCATTAAAGGGTATCTCTGGATTAAGTTCAGATTATTGTGATTGTTGTTGCCCCTTTCTCGTAGTGTACGTGCACATATTCTTTGGGCTAGTGTTTCGACCTCAAGTACTCAATCTGCTAGTTCAACTGAATTTTTTCTGGTCATAAATCAAAACAAGAAACAATATTAGTAAATTTGTCGAAGTCCTTGACAATGGTGCCAATTTGACAAGCGTCGAAGTTGTCAAATAAAAATAATTCATATTTCTCAAATAAATAAATAAATAAAATAGTATAGAGTAGTAGGATTGATCCACCAAACTAAGAAGTTTGATAATGTTATTTCTCGGATTAAATCAATTGCAAGAAAATAAAATGGGGCTTTTAAAATTAATGAAAATAAATAAATACTGAATAAAACAATAATAATGAGAAAATAAATAAAGTAGATAAAGTAGAAGAATTCAATAAAGATGATATAGTCTCAGGTTTTGTTAGCCTCAATTTTGATAGATCATTCAAATAAAATTTTCCCTTTGTGATGTATGTTAGTTACAGTCAATAGGGCACAACCCCTGCAGCTAACTCTTCTCGCCAGTTAATAGAAATTTTCAAGTCTATCTTCGAAATCCGATCTTTATTGGTCTAGTCACGTCTATCACCGTTAGATCCAAAATAAACTTTAAATTTTGGAAAGTTCGACTCGAGTTATAACATCTCACCAAGAATCAAACGCGATCTTGATTCCCCTTAACGTACCACTGATAAATTTGTTCACATAAATTTGAATTACAACCAACTGATCCGACTTCCAAACTTCAAGTAAAACAATCTTCAAATTAACATGCACCTTTTATGTTGAATATGTAATAACTTTTAAGAGAATGATCGATTGTCACTCCCAGGTTTTAGAGAATCAAGAATACGATATGAAGGTATCAAGATCGAGATTCAATTCTCACGAATGGAATTGAGTTTCGCAAAATATTTTGGCTAAGTCCAAGGTGATTGAAAACCTTATGTGGATAAAGTTTTGCAGGTACTTGAAAGGCCATGGATTAGCAGCAATATTTGCATGGTGTTGATGCTTTAGCAGATATTTTGTTTTCTTTTGTTTTCATAGTTCTATATGGTATGATTTTTTTTAAATAGTCTGGAGTGGTACAAAATAATATATGTTTAAAGATTTTTTAGTCTTTAACAATTTATACCCTATTGATATAACTACTCAAATCCAATAACACTAAAGAAAACAATACTCCCTTTAACTACTAAGTTCACTCAATAGTTTTTACATAGTATGATTTTGAATATATCTTATTTGCATAACATATTTCACTGTGAATCCATAAATTAGTGCGCACATTTTTTTGGAGTATATTGTGCACATTGGTTCTTGACTATTGACATTTTGATCAGCATATCTGAGCACATGGGGTGCCTCTAATGAGCAAAAACAGTCACCGGCCATCGGTTCATGCAGCATCGACCCACTTGGCCGACATGTAATAGCGGAACAACCGAAGCTCCAACTTTTTAGATTTGGCGGATTGGATTGTCCCCAACATTTGGTATGACCTTATTTCCTCTTGTGCCTCCTCAATTGCTGATTTGTCACTCTAGCATTTAACTGTGTTTTTACTTAAATTAAAATAAACCCAAAAAATCAAAACCTAAATTAATTCAATTTACATTAATTTGATTTGAAATCAACTAGAGACTTCTATTAAGATAATCCCCTTTTGCTCTTTTTTTTAACAATACCTGTCTCCATTCCAATCCTTTATCACACACAATTAATGCCTACTAATCCCACAATGTGCATCCCACTGCTGTAGGAATACATGGCATGCCAATGGAAATCGATAGCCCCAAATACACTTGCTATGCTTGTAGGAATTGTTCTTCGGATCCTTTTTCATTACAACTTGCAAATGTCCATTTAATTAAATTATACCGAACCAAACTTGGGGAAGGAGTTTGATCAGCTATATTACATGTGTCGCGCACCAAGGCCATAATGATGTCAATGGTTAAAATCTGTTTCAAGTCTCTCTACTCTTTGTACATTTAAAATTTGGTTTATCTATTTTCATTTTTAGGATTTTAGTTCTCTATATTGTTGTGAAGTTTGTCGTAGCGGTCTTTCGGTTGGGCCTCGAAATTGGGCTTCGACTTGAAAAATGTGGATTGGAGTCGCCACCGATCATTTATTTAAAAATAAATGGGTTGATCGGATACCCTATTTCTTACCTGATCTACGTCTTACCAGAAATATATCGGGCTCGGGAGTCGGTTACGGTCAAGGAAGGATTAGCACCATTGAACCGCCCTTTCGGTACT